TATTATGCTTGTAGACCATTTTACAACATACTATAATAATTATATATACATATACCTTTATACATACTTATGGACCAATTTACAACATACTATAATAATTATATATATATATACCTTTATACGTATATTTATTTTTGTTGCAAAACATGGGTATTCTATGAAGAGTTAAATGCACTGTAGGTCCACAAACTTGTTTATGTGTGCCAGATAGGTGCAGAAACTTGAAAAATGCATTTTTGACACACTAATCTTGAGTTTTGGTTCACTCCAGGCTCATGTTGCCAAATCAGACGATGGATGCTGATGTGGCGTGTCTAGAGTGGCCTGACCCGTCCAGCTGGGTCATGTGAGCGGCGTGTGAGGCAGCGCCCATCCACAGCCTCCTTTGCCAATATGCAGAAGGCCCCCCCCCCACATCCTCCTTCGCTCTCTCAGTCCCTCTCTGTCTCTAGCTCCCCTATCCCTGTCGCTCTCTCTGCTCGGTGCGCCCTCCACTCTCTCGATCTCCTCCATGGCACAACAGTGGAGCGGCACGGACCCAAATCGGCCCATCCGGAACCTCCCTCTCATCATCTGCTCGGAATGTAGGCGGCGGAGGGTGGTGCGGCGGGTTTCAGGGCAGGAGTACAGCCGAGGGAATGTGTTTTTACTGTTGCCTCTTCCATAAGGTAAGTTAGGGTTTTGTCAGATTGATTCTTTGGTTGCTGTACAACTGCACATCGATCTTGATTTTGTTTTGGGTACAAAGGAACTCGTGCTGTCCTTTTTTCTACTAGGAAGATGAATAAGAGGAGCATCTCAAGGTGTTGGCCAAGAAAGGATTGTTGGCTGAATTGTTGGCCAGTTGTTAGTATTTCTTAACGTCTATAGAAGTTAATCCGTAAGCGTACGAAATTACCGTTGTAACTTTCACCCGGAAGTATTTAGGATATTGTATTTTCATAGGGAATTGAGGTATTTTTTCTAGCTAATTCATCCAAGGACAACACAAGGATAGCTGAAAAGAGTATAGAAGGATTTCTATGGTTTAGGGTCTAAGGATAGATAAACTCTACTTCTACTTGCTTACTTCGGGTACCGGTGAACACTGGTCTGCCAAGCGTTGTCGGCTTGTAGCTCTACGCTATACCCGGACGTGGGGATTATAAGGGACAGACAGGGTGAAAGATCCTAATGGCTAGAGAAGGTGAATAGCCTATTAAAAATTTCTAGAACAACACTAAGACAAATGATTAGTCAATAAGATGGCGAAGTGAATTTTGCGCTAACACTATACTTGGGATGGCAAGCCAGCTACCCAATTCTATTTTCTATGATCTCTAGTATATTACAACAAGGCTATGTCTTAAATCTACACCTAGGTGATTAATCTAGCAAAAGTGATATAATAAAGTACTACACTATCTAGTCTTGACTACCCAAGCTCTATACAAATGAATGTACAATGAAATACAAGAGAGTGGTAGAGAGGTATATCGCCGTGGCAAGTGATCAATCAATGAATACCAATGAATACCAAGGAGACAATCAAGGCACAATGATTTTTCCTCCAAGATGGACTTGCTTGCCGTCAAGCTAGTCCCCGTTGTGGCGATACACTCACTTGGAGGTTCACGCGCTAATTGGTATCACACGCCAAATCCTCAATAGGGTGCCGCACAACCAACACAAGATGAGGATTACACAAGCCACGAGCAATTTACTAGAGTACCTTTTGGCTCTCCACCGAGGAAAGATCAAGAACCCCTCACAATCACCACGATCGGAGCCAGAGACAATCATCAACCTCCGCTCGACGATCCTCGCTGCTCCAAGCTGTCTAGGTGGCGGCAACCACCAAGAGTATCAAGCCAAATCCGCAGCGAAATATGAATACCAAGTGCCTCTAGATGCAAACACTCAAGCAATGCACTTGGATTCTCTCCCAATCTCACAAAGATGATGAATCAATGATGGAGATGAGTGGAAGGGCTTTGGCTAAGCTCACAAGATTGCTATGTCAATGCAAATGGCCAATCATTATGAGCTAAAGTCGGCCATGGGGCTTAAATAGAGAGCCCCCACGAATAGAGCCGTTGGGCTCCCCTATCCACTGAAAAACGGGGCGACCGGACACGCCGGTCGGATCGACCGGACGCACTCTACCAGCGTCCGGTCAACAGATGGTTGCCACGTCATCCCTGGCTTTAAATGTTGAGCGCACGATCTCAACGGTTAAGTTGCAACCTGACACGCACCGCGAGAATGACCGGATGTTGCTACGCCTGAGTCCGGTCATTTCCAGTAAGGTTCCAAAGAGGCAAAAACATGACCGGACGCGTCCGATCATAGGTGACCGGACGTGGCTCAGGGTCCGGTCCTCACTGGCTTGTTCTGATGCTTGCGTACGTCACAGTCTGACCGGATGCACCCCTAGCGCGTCCGGTTCTATTTCTTCTAAGCGTCCGGTCAAAGGACCGAGGGCGGCCTTCACCACACACCACTGATCGGACGCAGGGTCAGAGTCCGGTCACTGCCCAAGACAGAGTCCGGTCAATACGAAATAGCTCCTTTTGAGCCCAAACTTCACCACCCTGGATTAAATGTGTCAACCACCAAGTGTAACATTTCGTGTATGTGTGTTAGCATATTTTCACAAACATTTTTAAGGGTGTTAGCACTCCACTAGATCCTAAATGCATATACAATGAGTTAGAGCATCTAGTGGCACTTTGATAACCGCATTTCGATCCGAGTTTCACCCCTCTTAATAGTACGGCTATCGATCCTAAATGTGATCACACTCGCTAAGTGTCTTGATCACTAAACCGAAAAGCTCTTATCAATTTCACCTTTGTCTTGAGCTTTTTATTTTTCTCTTTCTTCTTTTCCAAGTCCTAGCACTTGATCATCACCATGGCATTACCATCATCATGATCTTCACTGTTGCTTCATCACTACCTATCTTATGATCACTTAGATGAACTAGGCTAGCATTTAGGGTTTCACCAATTCACCAAAATCAAACTAGAGCTTTTACAGGGCAAAGGAGGATGCGGGGTGGGGGGGCTTCTGCATATTGGCAAAGGAGGCTGCGGGCGTGCGCTACCTCACGCGCCGCTCACGTGACCCATCTGGGCGGGTTAGGCCACCCTGAACACGCCACATCAACATCCATCGTCTGATTTGGCAACATGGGCCTGGAGTGAACCAAAACTCAAGATTAGTGTGCCAAAAATGTATTTTTTCAAGTTTCTAGACCTATCTGGCACACCTAAAGAAGTTTGTGGACCTACGGTGCATTTAACTCTTCTATGAAATACATGGCATACCCCTGGCTCCGCCCATGCTCAAGCTCAACCCCCACTCGGTCAAGAAGCCGAGTGGATCCAAGCACCAACCAAGAGTGACATTTTGTGTCCAACAAATGCTGGTCGGACCGTTGCCTTGTCAGTGAGAGGGCACTGACAGGGCGAAGAGACTCTCTGTTATACTAGAATCGTCATTAGCGGTTGATAATAACAAGAATTATCTCCTAATTGATAAATGAAATAATTTTCAACAAAAGCACTATATAAAATTAAAACAATATTTGGGGTATTTAATTTACCAAATTTTCGTACGTAGCTCCTTTTGAACTTTTGAAGGAAAAAAAAAGTCTTGTGAAACAGATACTTTTACTTCCTCGCGCACTACCATTTCCTTCCCCCTTCGGTTTCCATAAAATATAAAATATTTTCCTCAATACCTGTGTATACCTTTCTTATGTCTTGTTTGAATGTATTCGAATTCGCAACGCTCCATATGTGTTAGGGTCGGTTAAGGTGGAATTTAGTTTAAGTTACATGGATTGAGGTGAATCCGACAATATCGTGATTATTAAATCTAACCAACCTTTACCACCATCCATATTTTTGAATTTTGCAAATATAGCATAGGACCATACTTTACGTATTTGATCCTTCTGTGGCAGGAACAATGAAAAGAGAAAGATACAGTAGTATATGTTTCCATGAAGTGGGTGGGACAGTTGTAGAATAGCGGCGAGGATTAATTGGTATGTATATGCTTCAATTATAGCGCTTGACTTTTGATAAGTATATCAACCAAAAAATTCATACAAAGTAATTTTTAACTATCAGTATAAAAAATCAATATAATCTCAGACATACTTTGAATACAAATCTATTGATACAGATTTTAGGTCTAATTTGCATATTATTTAATTAATTGTTGATCAAAGTTTATAAAAGAAACTTTTTATTTTGAAATATGATTACTATTTCTTAGACTGCGGGAGCACGAATATTTATCCAATTCCAATCCTTCCATCCTAAAGCAATTTTTGGGAGCATCCAGAGCCCTAGCTGGCAACATCAAAATCCCAAACAAACCTCGCCACCCAGTCGCTCTCTCCTCTCCATCCTCAAGCTTTTCAGTTTCCACTCACATTTACACCGCTACAGGCCAAGCGAGAAGTTCTTAAAAATACTACTGAAACGAAAAGGATAAAAAATTCGGCCTTAAAAGTTTATTACCAGTACTACTCAGTAAAGACTCCTCGAGGTCGAGGAAGGATAAAATCTCTCGCAAAAAGAAGTTTTGCCATCTGGTTTGGACGTTTGGTTGCGTTGGATTTTCCTCTCTATTATTAATAAACCAAACCAAACCATCTGGGCTCCTGGTCCTGGCTCCGCTGCTCTGTTCTCTCCCACCACCACGAGCACCTGGCACTGGCGGCCTCCGCCCCGTCCGCCACCTCCCAGATGTGCTCAAGCCGCCTCCTTTCTTGCTGAGCTCACCCACGCACCACACGCCGCGTCCTCGACTCCCACGAACTCCCCCGCCTACCCACCCCTGCTTCTCTCGCCCGCCCGCCCGCCGGACGCATCTCGGGGCTCTGCTCCCCGGTTCTTGGGGCCGGTGGATGCGACCGCGTCCCCGCCCCCGCCCCCGCCCCCGCCCCCGAAAATCAGCTGGCCCGCGTCCTTGTAGCGCTCTCGGGATCCAGGCCGTGAGCAATGGCGGCGGCCGTGGCGCCGCCGCTCTGCACCTGGCTCGTCGCCGCCTGCCTCTCCGCGGCCTGCGGCGATGGCGAGAAGGAGACGCAACGCAGGCACCGCGGTGGCGGCGTCGGGGGTCTCTTCGGCTCGCGCCGCCGCCTCGGCTCTGGGCGCCGCGGCGGGGCGCGCTCTGGTGAGCCCATTTCCCGTTTTCTATTGCCAAAAGGCTGGTTTCTTTCTTGCTTGCCCGAGCTCAACCGTGAAATTTCGCTGTAACGGAGGAGTTTCACCGCATCGGTAGTGTCACGGCGGAGATTTGGCGGCGGGTTATAGGTGGGTGTTTTATACGGTTCCAGGGTCACATCGCTCGTGCAGTCGTGCGCGCGCCCGGGATGTAGGCTGCAAGGGGATTATACCCAGCTTGATGCCGGCATCTTGGTCTAGGCTTTTTTTTGGTATGGTTTCGGGCTCGCCGTCACCTCATGCTCTGGAGTAAGTTGGTGGGTTTGCAACTGCTAGGTCTGGCTGCAATAGTTTCACAAAATTTATGATATGATAAACCTAGAATTTTTATCAGCAGGACGAACTGTGCCAACAAGGAAATTTCAGACCCAATTTTGGTGTTGCCGTGTTGACAATCAAAAGAAACTGAGATCTTGTCTTGTTCATGAAATTGTCTAGCCTGGAACTACAGCAAGCTTGCATTCCTTAATAGTTGATATTTCAGCTGTCATGCCTGGTTTTGGCTGTGCCTCTGTGGTGCCATTAGTTCAGCACAAGCATACCAAATGAAATGTGTGGCAAACCAACCTATATTATTTGTTTGTTGATTGTGGTGTCTTCCCCCCAATGATCCACTTAGATGACCAAAGTGTTACTTGAAGAAGGTTTCAGTTGATATATAAGGGCATTTGTGGATGACACCGCCTTTCCTGTTGTCCACTTCTATTTGTCTTACATGCTGATTTCTGGTAGCTGTACACTGTATGAACAAAATTCTCGTGAACTGCAGGAATGGCCATGTCTGTTGCCTTGCATCCTGAAAGGACAGTTGTGGAAAGTAAGAAACCTGATATGAAAGAAAGGAGAGTGGTTGTCACTGGCATGGGCGTAGTGACGCCACTAGGCCATGATCCTGATGAATTCTACAATAACCTTTTAAGGGGTATCAGTGGAATAAGCGAGATAGAGGCATTTGATTGCTCTCACTATCCCACGGTATTTAGTTTCTTCTTATGGATAATGATTTGAGGTTTGTTGCACAATTATGCTGAAACATGCTGTACTTCTTTGACACTATGTTTCATACAGAGGATCGCGGGAGAAATCAAATCGTTTTCGACAGATGGTTGGGTTGCAGCAAAGCTAGCTAAGCGAATGGACAAATTTATGCAATATTTGATAACGGCTGGAAAGAAAGCATTGGAGAATGCTGGAATCACTGAAGAAGTCATGAATGAGTTGGAAAAATCAAGATGTGGAGTCCTCATTGGGTCTGCTATGGGTGGCATGAAGGTGCATATTCTTACATTACATGATATACTTGCTGAAAATATCAGTTTCTTTTAATTCTTTTAATTCTTTTAGTTTAATTAGCTTCACTTCTAATTCTATTTTTATCAGGTTTTCAGTGATGCGATTGAAGCTTTGAGGGTTTCCTACAAGAAGATGAACCCATTTTGTGTACCTTTTGCAACTACAAACATGGGTTCTGCGATACTTGCTATGGATCTGGTACCTTATATGATTATTGATCTTTCCTTGCTATTTCATTTCTTTACTCGTTTGTTGATACTTTGATAGATAGATATGATGATTCTTGATTACTGAAATTGCGCTTCATATGCAGGGTTGGATGGGCCCAAATTACTCTATCTCTACTGCTTGTGCGACTAGCAACTTCTGCATTCTGAATGCAGCTAATCATATCAGGAGAGGGGAAGCTGTAAGTAACTTCATTTTCTTGTGATCTCTTCTACAATAAGTAGTGTCTAATTGCAGTTGTAACCTAAACATACAGGATTTGATGCTTTGTGGTGGTTCTGATGCACCAATCATCCCTATTGGTGAGTTGCTCTCTGATTGTTAGATATCTTCATTCCCAATTTCTTCTGTTTCATTTTGACTTGAACCTCAAATTTTCTTATGCATATCTGTTTTGACCATTTAAAACTGTTAAATGCAGGATTGGGAGGTTTTGTGGCCTGCAGAGCTCTTTCACAGAGAAACAGTGATCCAGCAAAAGCTTCTCGACCTTGGGATGTGGTTAGTATCTGTAAATCTAAGAATACTAATTACTACTTGTTAACCAAATTATTGATTTACTATATGCTAGTGATACATTTGTCAGTTATACTTGTTTGGTGCCATGTATTTATCTGCTGTTGAATGTTTCGAAGCGATGTAATTCTTATTTTTCTCAGTATTCTTATCTTTTTGTCACAGGATCGGGATGGATTTGTTATGGGAGAAGGGTCTGGTGTGCTTGTTTTGGAAGAACTTGAGCACGCAAAGGTTTCATTCATGCAGTTCTCTTGGGTCTGTTGTCCTTTTGGTTTAGGCTGATTTCAGTCAAATGCTAAGAGCATCCAACTCGTATTTCTGCAGCAAAGAGGTGCAGAAATATATGCTGAATTTCTAGGAGGAAGTTTCACATGTGATGCATACCATATGACAGAGCCTCATCCTGAAGGTCATATTTTTCTTTAATGTTGTGGTGCATTTGGCTTCCCTTCTATTATCCTTATATCCTTTCATGTTGATGCTGATGTTATGTCCATGCAAATACAATATCAGGGAAAGGGGTAATTCTTTGTATTGAAAAAGCATTAGCAGATTCTGGAGTAACAAAGGAGGACATTAACTATATAAATGCTCATGCAACATCTACACAGATGGGTGATTTGAAGGAATTTGAAGCTCTCAACTGTTGTTTTGGCCAGAATCCTCAGGCAATTTTGTATTTCAAAATCTTATATTTTAGACCTAGCAACCTTCTGCTGCTCCTTTTTTGGCAAAAAGAAGCAAACTTCTGTTTTTCTCAGTTTAGTTGAGCAAATGATTTGCTTATATGTATTGCAGATACGAGTGAACTCAACGAAGTCGATGACAGGCCATCTGCTAGGAGCTGCCGGTGGAATAGAAGCTGTTGCTGCTATACAAGTAAGGAGATTAATGTAACTTTTCCTGTCAGGGTTGTTTGTTTGTTTTCTTTTTATTACTCAAAAGTCTGTACCTTTATAGAGTCCAAAATTTTAATATCTTAGTGACCTATCTGCTGGGATATGTTATCAAGGTCTGTTGTTGCAAGTATTTCAAAGTATAGTGCTTTTTTTTCGTTTGAGCTGATGTGCAGAGTGTAGTGGAGTCATGTTAAATAAAAACAATGTTTCTGCATTAAAGGTCATTAGAAACTTAGAAAGCATAAATTCTTGATACTGGTATGGTGGCATACAAATGCAAGATTACCACTCATTAATACAGCTGTATGGCATATACCAAAGAAACAAAATGTTGTTGATAGTCTGATAGATAATTTTAAGAATCAACTCTCAAGTGCAGCTGATGCAACTAGGCAACATAGAGTACACCATGATGGGATGGTCTAGACCATAGATTACATAAACAAATACAAGTTAGACGTCTAATTCTTAGTTCCTTAGATATTGTACTCTTGAAGATTGACTTTTTACTGGGCGCAAGATGTCTGGAGTATGCCCAGGATGGAGGAAGTATCCATTTTTTACTATCAGTCTACTATAAAAGGTTTCAGTATATTATATGGTATCCGATACGGACAAGCTACTTAAAGGTAGTATTCATATGGAAATTATGGCATAAGGAAGCACCATATTGTAGCATTTTTTTTCTTATACAATTTCTGGTCAATTGGACTTTGATGTATCTACGAAGTTAGTAATTCACACTAGTAATTCATAAAGTATCTAGATTCAGTTTCTTACTTGACCAGACGTCTGTGCCATTTAGTACTGGAGGATAATATCAGTAGTATATTAGTATGATAAAGCACTAATTGAACACTAGTTTTGTAATAGATCACTTTAGTGCTTGCAACTAGTATTCAAGTTTCTGTTAGACCTAGTGGTTGACCTGTGGATGTTTGGTCTTTTAATTTTCACATTCTGAACAATATGCACCAATTGGGAATGGGGTGGTGTAGGAGGGTACAATTGGAAAAGGTGGGAAATAAAATGCTGTTATTTAAAAAACCCACTTATTGATGTAAACCACCTTTAAAATCTGTGATGAACAAGTTTTGACTGCTTATGTGATGCTGTTGGTAACATTTGGTGGTGGTTGCGGGGGGGCGGGGGGTGCTTCTCATGCCACAGGTTCATCTCTAGGACTCTAGGTTAATAATGTCAATAACTAGCATAAATTCTTATGCTCTGTTTATAAAGTAGAAGGTGATGCAAATGATATAATTTTTTTTATTTGAGTAAGTTGAAGCACCCTGTCATTTGCACTTGGACAACATTCTGTCATTTTCGTGTTGGGGGAGGAGAAAAATGCTGACAACATCAGGTGTTAGATGAAGTGCCTGAACAGATGCTCCTGCTGTCCTAGTATATAAGGCGTAACTGTTTTTTTTTTCTTCATCTCAGAATACAACGTGTGTGTCTCTCTCTCTCTCCATTTAGTAAACATGCACCCATGCACCGTTTATTGCTTCTGCTAGACTTCTCTTCTCCTTCCTATTTACATGCATGCACTTTAGTCTTAGTGTAGGTATTTACTTGCATGGTAAAGTGCTGGCTGGTGGAACCAAGGAGTTTGGCACTGGAACCAACGAATTTAGTAGGTTTCTTGGTCTTTGGGCTAAAGGGAGTTGCGCCTTATATACTGGGACGGAGGGAGTAACACCCTTTAGATCATTTATAATGATGTTCTTTTGAGTGGTCTAGACAAACATAATTCCAAAGTACAGGGATTGTGACATTGTGTTCTTGAAAAGGCTATTTTCCAATGTAAAATACCGAGGTTACTACAAGTCCATTTTGTAGGGGATGGATGGGAAAAAGTTTTTCCATGTGTATCTTTTGTTTGAGTTTCTCTCAGAAGTGGGGTTTTATGCCAACTCTTAAACTAAGCAAACTGGTACAATGCATGCTGTTTCTAGACACTTATCATTTAAGCATCCTTGTGCAATGCATGTGGTTTCTAGACACTTCCTCTTTTTTTTACGGAGGAAAGACACTTCTGTTTTGCTAAGATGGTTGATTAGTTTGCCATCAGAAAGTACTAACTTGCTGTTCCTCAAAGCACCCGACCTAGTCGAGTGTGTGGTAGCCAACAACCAGCATGTTTTTATTTGATACCACACCGTGGGTGCCTACATGTATCAACTTTAGTGAGCAGCAATATCAGGGTGCTGGATTTATTACGAGTCTTGTTGCAAATGATATATCATGTTATCCTCATGGTTTCTACTGCATTGTGTACTTGCAGGCTATAAGGACAGGTTGGGTGCATCCAAATGTCAATTTGGATAATCCAGAGAAAAATGTGGTACTTTTCTTTTTAACCCAGAATTTTCCACTCTTGAATTATAATCTTATTGACCCTATTTCACCAAACTGACATGTATTGGTACATCAGCTTATGGAATGGTGGGCACCAGGTTGCTGTAGTTTGGTTGGGGCCTTAATTTTTCCTATGAAATTGAAAATGAAACAACAAAACTAGTGGGTCTAATTTGCAATAGTTCATTTGACCAAATCATGTTTTTGTCCATTCAATAGCCTTGCCTTGTTCATAAATGCTACTCTCCAATCCTGAGCCCATCAAGTTGTTAGATTACAAACTAGCATTAGCTTGTTTGTGCTGATCTCTTATTTTCATCTATTTGAAAGCAGTATCCAATTTGCCTTTTTGTTGTCTTGACTTAGGATGTCAGCATGCTGGTGGGTCCACAGAAGGAAAGATGTGATGTGAAGGTGGCACTGTCGAACTCATTTGGATTTGGTGGGCACAACTCATCGATTTTGTTTGCACCATTCAAGTGATAGTTGACACTTTTCTTGTGGTGGTTACACATCGTCGAATCGGGGCCTTGTATAAGAGACTACCAGGGTCAGCAACATCTTGTGTACTGCAAAATTAGGAAGAAATTCAAAAGCTTAGTAGGATTATATATTGCCACACAACCTACTAAAGATAGCAAATGGGTTCCTTTGTAATAGCAAATCAAAAATTATGTTGAGCAAGAAGAGCATCCATTCAGATGTCACATGTACCCTTTTGGCGTGTTCTATTATGTTTCGGATGCAAATTGTACGCGTCCTATAGGAGGAACTTAATTGGGGGTGATGTTTTTGGTGTTGCCCGACAGATACAGTGCGTCACTTACAGATTCATGATATACTGCCTAGTTCTTTACTTTATGCCAGTTGATGGCTTTTGCTGCAAGGCACGTTGCTGCTGTGGTTTTACTGTGTTGATGCATTAGTAGCTGCGGCAATTCCCCGTGAGGCCGTGACGTGTGTACGAAGTTGCTCTTTTGATTTGTTATATTACTGGGCATTAGTGCAGTGGTCTCTTAACTCTCGTCTCAGTTTTCATGATATAAGTGCCATGGGTCCAGTACTGCGTATTTTGTTTATGTGAGGTGAGGATCCGCAAAAGATAGCACAAATCTGCTCAAGAAGAATTGGGGGAGAGTAGAAATCGAGAGGAGAGGGTGGGTGCTTCTCTAAATTTATTTATTCCGTTCTTATCCCGATCTGCATACTTCTATACTTAGTTCTCTAAACTTGTCCTCGACTGGTTCTATTGCAAATTGCACATTTGCTCTCTAAACTTGTATTACTTACCAGCTTGGTTCAATCTCCTGGGCATCGTGCTTTCGTCAACTCGCCCCACCGCACGCACATACATTACCTGTGGCTTGCACGGTTGCACCGCTACGCGTGCCTACTTGTGCTGCGTCGCTGGTGTGGTGCCGCACTCATGCTAGGATCTACCACGCTGTGCGCTGCGCTCGTCCTACCACGACGCGCCTGCCTGTGTCACCTAGCCACGGCGTCCAAGCGGACGAGCTCGTCGCAGCGGGAAGCAAGGAATGTGGGGAGCGGGTGCAAGAAGATGGAGAGCATGAGATCTTGCGTGCTGGGGGATAGAAAGGAATGTGGCGGTACCGGTGTCGAGTGCAACTGCTGCGGTAAGGTGGTGCAAGAATGAGTCGAGTAGGAGGAGCAAGGAGGACCGCAACGGTGGTGGCTTGGCCTGCCCCACTTGTTGTCGACAAAGTTGAAAGCTGGGTTCATACAGCGTGGTAGCGCGGGCAAGTGTGGTAGGGCTTAGTATGGTAACAGGGGTGTGGCACAACGCTGGTGACACACCGTAGGTAGGCGTGGGGTGGTGGGGCGTGACTGTGGTGCGGTCAAACAGGTGAGGCGGGTTTGTGTGGTGCAACAGGTGAGGACGGTATGATATTGCAATGTTGCATACCATGGTACCCACCATCATCTAAAGCATGCACATTCTTTTTCTTTTCAACAAGTTCTTTTTCACGTTGCACAATTTCAGCAGGAGTTAAAGGAAGTTAAGCAATTTTCTTTCCCTTATGCATGAACTTTATTTATTTTGCCTATCATGCTGTATAGCATCAGTCCAATCCAAGGGCCAGGGCAACCATTTATTAGCACCACTGACTCGGAGGAACCGAGGAGATATTTTGATCCAAGCGCACCATGTACAGGAGAAGCCCTGGACCTCTAGGATGCGTATCAAGCTGTCCCATGACACGGAGATAAAAGCCTTTGCGAAGTCCAATTTGAGAGCAATGGAGGGTATCTTGCGCCGTTGACAACACGAAGTTCTCAACAATGGATCGCCCTATCAGAAATCCTATCTAGTCAATGTCCACGAGCTTATGAATTTGTTTCTGCAACCTTGTGGACAGTGGCGGAGCTCGCCGGGAAATTTAGGTGGGGCGGACTATGGACAATATATTTTAATAATAATTGCACGGGCATATATGAATGTCTACTATATGTGTGATAATGACATGAACATTTGCACTAATAAGATGATTATATGTGATAATAATAGCATGAACAAATCAGAATATATGTCACCCACGGCCATGCCCGTGGGCAACACCAACATTGCTCACCTGCTTGCCGCCGCCGCCGCCGCCCCCGACCCTGGAAACCATCCTCCTCCATGTTCTCACCTGCAACCTGCGCAGGTAGTGGCAAGCAGGAGCAGCAACTAGAGCAAGGGGCACCGGCACCCTTCGGGCTGCAGCTAGGGCCACCGCTGCCGGTGGGGTGCTATGCCGACAACAGCGCAACATGGCGGACGGCGGTGGTTGGCATGCGGCGGTGGCGATGCGGAATCGTGGATTTGGGAGCGACCGCTGAAGCTAGCTGTTGAGTGCTGGGGCTGGGGTCTCGGTGGCTTAGGGCGCTTGCCACTTGGGCTGCTCCATTGATGGGCTATTGGGCCTCAGCCTTTGCTCAGGCCATAGTTTTATTTCTTATCCCAGAGAACACGTTCCTAGCTTGCAAGTTCGGCTGCGCCGCCGGACACCGCCGCTCGGAGATGCAGGAGGCGACGAAGAACAGAGGGATACTGGAGGCTCCCTGCCGTATGGGAAGCTCCGCCTCTGGTTGTGGTCAAGATCTTTGTCAGGATTTTGACAGGTGTTGACGGTAGTTAACAACCATTATAAACCATCAATATAATATGCAAATTCCACGAGTTTTGCTGAATCTGCAGGGTTTCTCCAAAAACCGTCAAGGTGGACTTACATGTCAGATTTAATTACGCTTATCCGTAGTGAAACGGACATTAGAAGGTTCTAGAAAACTCGGGAGACTCCACACCGAAGTGGAGGGCAAGACACCACCACATATAAGTTGTCTAGCCTCTGGGGCTCACCTATCAGTCCCTCATTGCAATGTTGATTCTTCACTACCTCCTAGGTTGCATCTACACCGTCCTTTAAGTCGGTTTGATCCAATGGCTCACGTTGGACGCTCCGGCCTATATATATCAGCCTCTGCCCCCTGAGAGAGCATAAGTCATTTGAGAAGACAGAAACACTAATCATCCTTAGAGCTCTACTATATTCTATGGCATAGCTAGTTAGGCTAGGTCTAGAGAGAGGCAAGCAGGATTCCTGATCTTGTCAAGAGCGTGGTTTGGTATAATTTTTGCACCCCTCTCTCTTTTGTATCTCTATTACTTTTATATGCTCGTTATAATTGTTATGACAATATCAGTATTTATCTTATTCATGTTCTTTGTTATAATGTTCATAGTTTATGTTGATTATATGCTTAGTATAGTTGGATTATCATTATGATTCATGCATAAGTTTGTATAGCGCTCACTCTAAGGATCCATGGGTGGGTGGACGATATTGTGTAAGCGTGGTGCTTATACATTGTTTACCTGTGGATACACCCTATATTCTGGACCATTGAAAGGTCCTAATGGCTAGAGGGGGGTTGAATAGCCTATTAAAAATTCTACAACAACACTAAGGCAAGTGATTAGTAAATAAGATGGTGAAGCGAATTTTGCGCTACCACTACACTTGTGTTGCAACCACCTACCCAATTCTAAAATCTATGATCTCTAGTATATCACAACAAAGCTTATTCACTAATTTATACCTAGATGAGCAAGCTAGCAAGAGAACTACAACTAAGAGCTACACTAACTAATTTCAATTACAACAAGCTCTACACAAGTAAAGACACAATGTAATATAAGAGAGTGGTAGAGAGGTATACCATCGTGACAAGTGATCAATCAATGAATACCAATGAATACCAATCAAGACACAATGATTTTTCCTCTGAGGTTCACTTGCTTGCCGGCAAGCTAGTCCCCATTGTGGCGATTCACTCACTTGGAGGTTCACGCGCTAATTGGCATCACATGCCAAACCCGCAACTGGGTGCCGCACAACCAACACAAGATCAGGATCACACAAGCCACGAGCAATCTACTAGAGTACCTTTTGGCTCTCCACCAGGGAAAGGTCAAGAACCCCTCATAACCACCACGATCGGAGCCGGAGACAAACACCTTCCTCCGCTCGACGATCCTGGTTGCACCAAGCTATCTAGGTGGCGGCAACCACCAAGAGTAACAAGCGAATCCCACAGTAAAACACGAACACCAAGTGCCTCTAGATGCAATCACTCAAGCAATGCACTTGGATTCACTCTCAATCTCACAAAGATGATAAATCAATGATGGAGATGAGTGGGAGGGCTTTGGCTAAACTCACAAGGTTGCTATGTCAATGCAAATGGCCAAGAGTGTGAGCTAGAGCCGGCCAAACACCTTATATAGGCATCCCCTCGAAATAGAGCTATTGGGCACTCGGGCAGCTCACTGCGTGGTGACCGGACATGCCGGTCAGATCGACCGGACGCTCGGTCCCCTGTGTCCGGTCGTCGGATCGCTACCACGTGTCACAGTTTCAAACGTGCGCCATCCGATCCTAATGGCAACTCGATCATGCGCTCAAATTAATGAACGATCGGACGCACCACGCCGAGATCGGACGCGGCCACCCAGCGTCCGCTCGCGCCCTCACCCGAGGGGCCAACCCAGCGACCTGACATGCCGATGGAATGACCGGACACTCCATCAACGCGGAGTCTGGTCACTTCCAAAGTGCATCTAGAGCCACACTTTCTCGATCGGACGTGTCCGAGGGAGCATGACCGGACTCAGGGCCGAGTCCGGTCCTCACTGCTGCTACACGCCAACAGTTTTGCCGCCACATCACCATATGTCATCATTGACCGGACCCAGAGGCTGCGTGTCCGATCACTTCCTCGCGCCAGCATCCGGTCAACTAGGCCGAGACCGCGCCATTGCTCCACTACTGGCCGGATACGCAGGTCTAGCTTCCGGTCCTGCGTCTGGTCAGCATAGTGACCTCCTCGACTTCGCAAACTTCACCACCCTTGCTCAAATATGCCAACCACCAAGTGTATCACCTTGTGCATGTGTGTTAGCATATTTTCACAAACAT